GCTTCAGGTTTAACCGTCTTCTGATGAAGCTGGTTTTGCTTAATTCCCTCTCCCAGCTGCTTATGAACATGGAAAGAAGTGTTGAAATAAATCAATATTTAAAAAGGAAAAAAACCCCACGCATTTGGTAAAGAATAAGCTTAACATATTAGCCCTTAATCCACCCATTCAAACCCTGAAACCAAGTGGGCTGGTGGGCTCCTTTCAGTCCATAAAGGACATTTTTCTGAAAAAAGTAAACCAACCCAAAATATAAATCAATGAAATTAATTCACCCGATTTGACACAAAGTCTCCATCTACTGCCGAGGGGCTGACGACCGACCAGGGTGGCCGTAGGTCAGCGCAAAAATGCTTCTGTGGAAATTTTAAGCATAACAACTCGCTCCTGACCCTTTCCCCCTGGCGTCCTCTAGCCCCCGGAATAGAGGGCTCAGACCCGGCTGCAGATGTCACTCCCCGTTCATAAAACGCTATTTTTTGCTCACTTCTCTAAGCCTTCGGAGGATTTACGCCCACTTTATTCCCCCCTCAGCAGGCAGCCCGAGAGCTAGTTCAGATCTGTAATTGATGACTAGGGCAGCTTTAGAAGATAGCAGCGTAACGTACGGGTAGATTTTTTCCTTCTTAATAGAGGCAATTAAATCATTTAATTATTTTACAGCAGCTTTATTGTTTCATGGCAGTTTCCAGGAAGTACGAGACAGCCCGTGAAGAGCCGCGTGTCCCACGGGTAGCTTATCGACCGAGGAGGAGGAGGAGAAAGTGCTGCTGACCAGCTCTTTTCGCCAGATCGGACACACGGGATGGATCTGCCCTTCCAGGGCTGACAAATATCCCATCTTACGGCTCCTCCTCCCCGTCCCCGTCCCGCTGCCATGCTGCTCCGACCAGTTACCGTGCGATTACCAGGGAGCAGGAGGCTGGCAGCGCAGCTTTGGGCACCACTGACCTGCTCGCTCGTCCCTGCACCGTGGGCAGGAGCAAAGCCCGCTGCTTCACAGCTGGGACCGGATGAGTCCAGAAGTTAAATTAATTCAGAGATCTCCGTTTCTATGAGTTACAGCCCCAGGGCACAGCACCTTTCATCAAACGGGTGGCCAGCTTTTCTCCCTGCACACACGCTGGCTCCGTGGGGAGGACACCTAGGGGCACTGCGACAGCGAGACCCCCCGGCCGTACTGCGAGCCCTCTTGGTTACACGGGTTTCTCTTTGAAATATGCTTGAGAGGGCTGAGAAACACACTTAAATACAATGCAGCCAGGAAGTTATTATTGCTAGAGTACAGCAAACACGTGTTTGGATTCATAAAATGAAACGAAAATAATCATCATGGAGAAATGAGTTTCCAGAAAATAAACCTTTTAGAAAGATAAAAGGCTGAAGGTTTGGGGAAAATAATTATGAGATCTCCCCAGGCAGCCTACAGCTCCAGTGCAGTGAAACTGCTGCTACTCCTCTGACAAACAGGCTCTCAAATCGTGTTGTGTGCTACTAGTCTGACACAGGTTAGAGCCAGGGGATTTCCAAGGATGCTTTTCCTGCATCATACGAAAACCAGGCGACACAGAGCTCCTTTGGTTTCCCTGGGAGCCGGCGTTCCCCGACGTGCAGCGTTGGCTTGGCGGGCACGGGGCGAGCACAAAACGCTGACGGCCGGGCAACTTCCACAGCAGCACCGCGGCTCCCTCCACGGTCACCCCGCGTGCGAAAACACAGCGAACCCGCCAAACCGCGGCAGGGCAGCGCCGCCCACCCGCGGCTCCGAGCGGGGTTCGTGCTAAAGAAAGGAGATTTCCGCTAGATTTCTTCTTGTGTCTATTATCGGCCAGCTACGGGTAACAACAGGGAAAAATACATGTCTGCGAAAAGAAACACAGAGCTCCTCTGGAAGCTGCAACAGCTTTGGATTTGCTAGTTTTCCGTAGCTTGCTGGAAGCAGACACGGGCTTTTCTTTTTTTTTTTTTTTAATTTTCTTTTTTTTTTTTTTTCTTTTTGTAACCCCTACCTTGTACTGGTTCGTGGTTGCAGTGAGAAAGGAGAAGGAGATGGCAGTGGCAGCCATGGCGTGGGTGGAAGGCATCCCGTACTCCGCGTCCGTCCTCATTTCCAGCTTGACGACAGGTGGCGAGAGGGGCCGAGGCCACTTCAGGATGTCCTTGGAGACCTGGCCGATGTACATCACTATCTGGGGAGAGGAGAGGCCACAGGGCTGTCAGTCAGCACGGGCAACCCCCGCTCCAGCCCACCCGACAACCACCTCCATTTCTGCGCTTTTCCCTGCAAAATCCACCACCCGAAGCGCAGAATTTATCCCCTGAATTATTAAAGGGGTTTCCATTATCCCGCTCAGCGAAGGAAGCGGCGGTTTTACTGCACCATGTTATAACCTGATCAGGAGCGGGACCAAAAGGAGAGTTCGCTCACGAGACGCGGCAATACAGGATGGTGTGAGACGGACAGCTGGCTCCCACCCCGCGCTAGAGAAGCTGAAGTTTCCTCCCTATCCCTTACAACCCCTCTCCTGCAAAGCAAACAGGTATAAGAGAAATTTTTCTGCCACCACCTTTAAATCACCACCTTGCCCAGCCGCGGCCCCCCCGCCCCCAGCTCCCCGCGGCAGGTCTCCGAGGGCAGCACCAGCTCTCCCGTTCCCGGCGGCTCCCACTCCGCCCGCCGCACAAGGTGCTGCAGGAACCCCCGCTGGGACGCACCGCTGGTGTGGTTATTAAATAATCACCTTAGCATCCTTGGGGAGGCAGCAGAAAGAAAACTGGACGAGCAACATAAAGTACCAGTTCTCCTGCCTAACGCCCTAACAACAAAAGGCTTTTGTGCCCTGCTTGGGACACCAGAGGTTTAAGCAAGGGCTCCATTAATTAGCGACTGAGCACTGCAATGCAGTGATTTTGGGGGAAATGTTGTATTCTCAGGTCGCTGCAAGCAGTAGTAACGGGAAGCAGAGGCAAGAGGCAAAGCCGGCCAGCATCCCCGAGAGGTGCAGCCCATCCAGCTGTGCCCAGGGCACCCGCCACGCTGACATCCTCTGCTCCTCAGCACCCCCTTCCCAAAGGCAACAGGCTCTCGGCATCCACAGCGAGAAGGATGCGAACAAAAGGCGCCCAGGCTGTCCCTGGAGGATGTATTTGCTTTCTATTGCCCTCATCCTTCCTTTGGATAGTGCAGCGAGACATGTGCAAAGCAAGCGCTACAAAACAAAGCAAACCTTTTTTCTTTGTGGTTTTTTTTTTTTTTAAATACAAAAATCAGGTTAACTGGCGTCTGCCATGAAAGCTCAGTTGCTGCGCGAGATGGCTCGCTGTTCTGCTTCTCACGCTTCCACTAGCAAAGGAGGGGTCTTAAAATAACACCCTTCCCATGCTGGTGTTAGCCGTATGCCAGAACAGCGACACGATCATTCGCTGCCACGGTTATCACCAGCCACGTTGCATCCCCCTCCCTCCCACCAGCCGTCTAAAAAATGGCTTCACATTAAAAGAAAGTCATCAGGATTCAGGATCCACGAATCAGGACCAGGAAAAAGCCAAAACGCCACAGTCCTTCATCCCCCGCTCTACGGCAAAGGGCACGCCACGGGGAGCGCTAGGCTTACAGCCAGCGCCTGGAAAAGTGACTGCTGCTGCCTTTGCAGCCTTTCTCCCTCCTCACATGAATCACATCGCCACCTTATTATCGGCACCACCTGTGGCACGCCTGGCTGCTCCTACTTCACCCTGATACGCGGGGCATAGGACAGCCAGCAGATACCCTGCCCGGACTGTTCGCAGTAAACGAAAGGCTCAAGGAACAAGTGTCTTGAAGGAACCACCGGGTGGGTTTATTTGGTTAATGCCGCCAGTTTCCAAATGGGTGCAGGCACATCTTTGGAAGTTAATTAAATTCCAGGGCTGAAAGCAAAATTACTCTCTCCGACAGAACATAAAACACTGAGGCTACCGTTCGTGATACCATCTGAGAGGCAAGGTAGGATGAGCCAGTTTATCAGCAGTCCTTTATAATAATGACTTCCACTTGTAGAAGTATTATTAGCACTGGTACGTAAGAGTATTACAGAAAGGGAAATGAGTCATCTTTGAAATGAAGGCTATGCTAGGGCTCCTCTGATGGTGAAAAACAGGCTGAATGCTGGAGGTGGTATGTGTAAGCAAAAATACCAGGCATCCTCACAACCCCTTCCTTCCTGGCATTCCAGATTAAATTCTGACCCTTACATTTTTTAAAAACACATATGGTATAGACACGTACAGTAATGAGAGGTGAGACAACCTCCATAAAATATGAAGGGGCGTCCAGAATACGTTCAGCACTGCCCTCTGAAGAGCCAACCTTTGCCTTTAGCTTATCTGGGTGCCGCGCGCATGGTTTATACGTGCAATGTCCTGGATTATTTGGCAGAAGCGGCAGTTGTGGGTGCGGTAAAACATCCCCCATCAGCCGAACTGGCAGGCTTCCCCGAGAAGGCCAAAGATGACAAGTGCACCATTGCTAAAAGCCACCCAGCAGCGGTGTTGCTCTGGTTCGCCGGCCTCCCCACGCGCTGCCCACAAGCGGCTGGAGGAGCGCAGGACTGCCCAGGCTCCGCGCGGGCTCTTCGGCTCGCAGCACGGCGAAGCAAGCAGCCCAGAGCTCCTGCCAGATCTGCCCGCGGTGGGCGGAGGGGTGCCCTCCCCGGGGAGACGGCCCCGCAGCACGGAGCGGGGCAGGCAGAGCATCAGCTGGGACCTGCACATCCCTCCCCAGAGCATCAGCCAGTCCTGCCGGGGACCGTCACACAGCTGGCGGCTGAGGGCAACACCCCCGCGAGCATACCAGGCACAAACTCCCAGAGCTCAGCCACAAATAGTAAAAAAAAAAAAAAGTAGGAGGCCACCACAGCTGCGGTCACTACATGACAAGTGTTTTGCAGAAACACACTTACAGCACTGTATTTCATTGCAGGATATATCTGAATTGCACCCTACTGCGGCTCTCATCTCCTGAGGATGGTAGGTATCTGCCTTGGCTAAGTGGCATATTCTCTCTTAAGCCACGTTTCATTATTTCCTGACCTTGTTTCTCTGTCACTTTGGATTTACTCTCTAACAGTCCCAGGAAAGAAAGCGAGCAGCCTGAAAGTTTTGGCCTGTTATCAGCTTCTTATAACCTGGTTATCAGCCTGTTATAACCCTGTAATAAACATTGCGAAGCATAAGCACTGAAGCACTGGAAAGGAGGAGAAGGGAGATGGAGAGATGAGCATGGGGGACAGGCTAAAGATCAACACAGAGCTAAGCCTCACCTACACTTGACTTGAATGACCCCCTTGTGCAATGCCAAAAATCTTTGCTGGCCCTGGAATAAATTTAGCACGGGCAGAAATTACAAGGCCAGACCAGCAAGTAATTTGGGATTGCTTAAGTCCACAGGACTGGGTAATTTTGCTGTGCTTTCCAGCCTACCCGAGGTAAGCCAAACAGCACAGCCGCGAGGGCTTCGGGCAGACGAACAGGGGAAGGTAGGTTAAGGCTTGACCCAGGAGCGTGTCACCTTGTAGCAGCAGATCGGCAGCAAGTTTCTGGGTTTCGAAGTCTAAAGCAGGGTGATCCCTCAAGCCTGCAGTGCTGGGCTTCACCCAGCGCCCCTTTTCTTCACACGGGCTGGGAAGATTTAGGGAGGAAGGAGGGGCTGGGCTCAAAGCGTACTCACCCAAGATTTAAATTAAAAACCCGTTCCAAAAGTCTTTACGTGCTCGTGGACTTTTCCACCCGATGGGTCTCCAGGCCCAAAGCTGAACGTTGGAGCGAAGAGGGAACAGGCCCTTGAACACTGAGCGAGCAGACACCGCTTGCTCTCATAGGCATGGCAAAGAAAAGCCTTGAAGCAAATAAATTCTTCATGCGTTATTGTTCTGTTTGCTTCTTTCCTACGTTGCTGACATTTTTTGCCTACCTAGAGTGCTCTATTACGGCTCTCGGTGCTGTTCTTCTGTGTTTATTTCTAGACCAGGCTCTCTTCCACTCTGTCCGAGTGACGCTGATCAACTGAATTTTCTGCAGTTCCGGTGGAAAACAGTTTGCAGACATCTTCCGCATAAATAATTTTAATTTGCACATTAATAGGTACCTCTGTCTTTGCATGGGGAATTTGTCTGAACCTGGAGACTTTTCCATTGCCGAAGCAACAAAGTCAAAGCCATGATGGATTGTGCTGGGCACAGTTAGCTGGAGAAGACAACTACACAGAAATGCACAGGAATTTAGTTGAGACTTCAGAAAAGTTGCTGGGGTGGGCATGGCTCATTCCCTTTACTCTGAAAGCTGACGGCAGCAACTCTAATTACCGCGTACCTCGGACCGTTCAAACTTTCCAAAATGAAATATAACCGTTTCACACCTGAGTTACAAAGATGTGTTGGCAAACGAGGGGGGGGCTGCTCGGGCCGGCAGGGAGGGAGGGGAGCTGGAGTTCAAGGCTGGGAAAGGGAAAAGCACCACGGGTCAGCACCGCAGCCTTCCCGCGTCACTGGACACCCACAAGCGAGGCCCAAACCCGGGCAGAAGCGAAGCGATGCTCTTGGGCATCAGGCAGGTCCGTACAGGGAGCCCTCGCCCCCAGACCCTCACCACAGTTTCCCACAGGAGCTCCCTGTTAGGGGAGGCAGAGGGACTCTGCTCTACCTCTGTTTGCAAGTCCTACGAGCTACAGTTGTGACAAACGCCGCGATGCGAGTCCTTCCTAAAGAAATGACGGCGAAAGCAAGGTGGACCATGGCACGGGAGCAGAGGTGTGGTGGAGAGGTCGCCAGCAACAACCACGCACACGCATAAGGCAGGGAATCCCTTCTGCATGGAGGCGTGCACACACACACACACAAAAGGAAAAGTTGCTTACGTACCGCTGCCACGGTGGGGACCCTCAGGAAGTTATGTCAGCTCCCTAATATTTGCAACATCACTTGACAGTGACACAGCAGCACCAGCTGGAGACGTAGGAAATAAAACGCATCCTCCCAGACCCTTCTTCCAAAGCCAGACGGGCATGGCCCATCGCCGCGGGGCCGTCCCCGCCACTCCTCCCTGCCTGTGTGCTGCTCTCCGCTGCGGGCTGCACAGCTCCCACCTCCCCTGCCGCCGCTCTGCCTCCGTGAAACGCAAGCCAGGCGCTTCGTTCACGCGGCCGAATCCACGA